TGACCAGAGGACAGCTTGGGCCCACCCCGTGCCCCCACTGGGTCAGGTCTCCCCCTCTGCTGGAGACCCCAGGGGCCAGCTGAAAGAGAAGTCCCTCCTCCCCAATACCCACCTCCAGGGCCATGGAAAATCCTAGAACAGGCATTTCCATCTCTGGACCTGGGAGCTGGGTCATTCTCGATGTGGGGGGCCTGTCCTGTGGATGGTAAGGTGTTTTGAGTGTCCCCGGCCTGTGCCCAGCAAATGACATCAGTCCTCCTTACCCCACTGGGACGGCCAAACATGTCTCCGGACATTGACAAGTCCCCTGGGGATTCAAAGGGCCTGGGTGAGAAGCCCTGTTCCGGAGTAAGGGACACACACCAGTTTCCCCCGAAACATTCTTGTCTGGAAAACGAGCAACATTGTCGACCTGCACACAACACCACAAGCAAATCACCCCAAGCCATGGCCCCTGGGCAGAAACCCAAGGGAGCCAGTCACCCCAAGGCGCAGTGCCTTGGTGGGTGAAGGACCCAGCAGCCGAGGACCTCGCAGGTGACATCTGGTAGGGCAGGGTCTCTGGTATCAGGTCCCCAGCAGGTAAAGTCCCTAGTAGCTGAGGTCCCCAGCAGGTGAGGTTCCTGGCATCAATGAGGTCAGCAAGTAAAGTCTCAGGTAAGGGAAGTCTCCGGCAACCAAGGACCCTGGCAGGTGAGGTTCCAGGCAGATGAGGCCCAAGGTAGGTAAGGCCTCAGGTAGGTGTGTCCCCAGGTAGTTGGGTCCCCGGGTAAGTGGATCCCTGGGTAGGTGTGTCCCCAGGTAAGTGAGGCCCCAGGCAGTTGAGATCCCAGGTATTTCTGATCCCAGACAGGCAACCTGCAGCCCAGTGCCAGCTGCCCCTCAGGTGAACCAGGCTTCTATGCTGCGCACCGTCTGGTACCTGGACTCCTGCTGCAGTTTCCAGCAGGCCTTGCAGAAAGCCAGGTTCCAGCTGAAGGACCGAGGCCGCAGCCTCTCCCGCCAGCGGAAGTAGCTCAGGTAGCGCTCGGGGTCCCTGCCCAGCTCCTGCAGGTACCTGGCCAGGTCCTGGGGGCTCTGGAAGTCGTCCACGTGGATGA